AATTACATAACAGCATTTGGATTTTGTAAGTTATATTTCACATACACACCTAGGCCAGTGGTGGAGCACCTGGAAATCAAGTTGTCCTTTGCTGCCGCCAAGAAATATTGACAAATTTAATTCAATTTGATGAATAAAGAATAATTTACTAGCAGAAAATATATGTATGCAATATAAAACCACCAGGAGCTCACACGGCCACAGAGAGAAGCTACTAGACCAAGAACATTCAGCTAGCCAAAGTAAGGTTAGGCATACCAGCTCCCTGCCTTACTGCTCTCTCTGATTCTCAGTACACCATCAGTGTTATCTGTCCCCATCCCTGAGCTCCGTTCTCTACTTCTAGGGTCTTTAGTACTTTCAAAATTTAGTAGCAAGTATTAAAGTGCTGAAAAATGATGAGGCTACTGCAGTAAACCAGGTTAAAGATGAGAAGAATATAAACAGAGAAGAAACAAAATTGACAAAACTCTTTCTACCAACTTGTGTTTTCTTGGACTTGGGGAAAAAGACCACCATTATCTGACTTTAGTTGTGAGAACACATTGGTCTAGCTTGTGGAATACTAACGTTCTACCAGACAGATAGTTTGAAAAGCACACTCTTAGCCCAACAAAACACAGTCATACCTTTATTCAAAGCAAGGGGTCATTAAAGAAAAGTGTGACCTTAAACAACTTTGAAGAAAATTTTTATTAAAATTCATTAAATTTACTTTTTTACATTGTTGGGCTTTAAGAAATGTTTTGCATAGCTTAGTAGAGTTCAGTAATTTTCCCAGACTCCTTGAGCCAGATGGGCATTTTTCCCACACTCTGGTTGGTAAAATCCAGTCCCCACCCTCTTATAAGAGAATGCAGTGCTTACTCACAAGGGGATGCCAGTTCTCTGGGTGGGCCCAAAAGAGAAGCTGAGGTTTCAGCCACTTTGAAGCCCAATAGATCAAGATCACAGATCTAAAAATCACAAGAGCTCGAATCAGGGACTCAAGCCAATGAAATATCTTAGCCACACCCAGTAACCAGGTGGCAGTGGGTGGGTGGGTGGGGTAGGAGAGACAACATTTATTTTCAAGATATACTAGTGATATGACTGTTGTGATATTTCAATTTTCTATTCACTTGGAGAGATAGGCTGTACATCTATAACATATCGTGATTCATCTTAATGTAGGAGGCATACATTCTTACAGAGTAGTGTCCTTTTTCTCACCTAACATTATTTCACAGGCACATGTCCATGGTGTGATTTAATCTATACCCTTTTTATCTTTACGGCTACATGCTTCATTCATTTGGTTATGCAACAAATATTTACTGAACATCTACTATCTGCTGGGTAAACTGGTACACACTATACATATTTAACACCATTTGCCTGTTAATACTCATTCTGGGGCATCTTGATCATTTTCAATTTTTATTATTAAAAATATTATTATTAAAATCTTTGAACTTTTAATGTTTTTTTGTATGTCTCTCAAAATAGTATTAGCAGGAAAGAGTCTGACCAGGTGGAGGAATTGTACAACTACTGTTGTATGTGGTCAAGATTAAAGCATAGACTTTAATTTTAGAATTATATGTGAAATTTATGACTAGGCTACTGTGGTAGACCAGGTTAAAGATAAGAAGAGTCTAGAGCAGGGCAATGGCACTGGGAATGGGGGGAAAAAAGAGGATTAGAAAAATACTGAGGAAGGGAGTCACAGCTGGGAAGCTGGATAGGTTCTATTTCATAATGTTCATTTTGAGGTAACTATGGGTAATATCCAGGTGGAGATATCCCAGGTGATTATAAAGTTTGTTGAAGAGGTAGCTGTAAAAAAAACACAAGGCTTTTTAGCATGGATTTTTTTAGCTAGAAATCACGAAGGTCAGCTAACTGAATTGTTTCATTTTACAGATAAAGAGACAGGCTCAGACAGATACACCTGTCTATTTTCAGAAAGCTACTCAGAGAATTGTGAGACTCTTCAGGGCTCTTTCAGTCCACCATGCTGCATTCCATTTGTATATTCCAGAATACCTACAGTTTAAAGTTTTCTCAGAATCCCACAATTATATACAGAACTCCAGATAAAAAGCACAAATCCCACTTGCATTCTTTTGTCACTGTGTAACTGACTTCTCAATCAAAGAGATCCTGCCATTGCTAGCTGGAGAAAATAAAGAGGACGTGGTCAGATTATTACAAGTGGCTTTTGATCACAGTGAACAACCCTAAATATCACATTGTTACTGTAACCTGGCTGCACATATCTCCGTGTTCAACTTTAAAGAACCAGTCATTCGACTGTCATTCTAAAAGCAAACAAAGGCAGTATGTTTATCACACACAATCACATGAGGAATTTAGCTGCATAACATTTACATTTAGCTGCATAACAACAGTTGATAGGCAAAAGTGCCAAGAGCATATTAAAAAAATTAACACAACAAATAGTTACAAAGTTGAGGGCCAATGATAATTTACTTCTTTAGGCTCTGAGACCCTAGAAGTAGAGAACGGAGCTCAGGGATGGGGACAGATAACACTGATGGTGTACTGAGAATCAGAGAGAGCAGTAAGGCAGGGAGCTGGTATGCCTAACCTTACTTTGAGAATAGTATTCAGAACCGTTAAGACAAAAGACAAATTACACTTTAAAACTCAATCTTGATTTAAGAGAAAAGCTATGAACTATTAGCTGACTCGAACATTTATCAATGTGGAAGGAACAGGTTGCCAGTAAAGCTACTTACTTTACCTAATATATAGCAGATATCTCGTATCTGATATTTTTGAGTTTCTAGAGATATTTTGGTCCTCTTACTTTTTTAGATATCCTGAAATGAGTTTTGTCTCCTATATTACTTCTAAATCAAGTAGTAAAGATTCTGATAGGTAGCAAAATATCACTATCAATCTTGGCATTTGAAGTTGTTTTTATGAGAAAAAGCTATGTAATTTTTCTATTAGCAAGGTAAACAAGGTAAGGTAAGCAGCTTAATGTATTTCACAACAATATTAACTTCTTTCTCCTTGTTCTTATTTATGAATTACCTTGCTAATAGAAAAATTATCTTGCTTTTTCTTCTTATAAAAACAACTTTAAACGTCAATCACTTCTAATCCCAAAATGAAAACAGCATAGAGCTCCCTCTAGCGTCATATTAGTGAAACATAGGGCCATTTAATTCTCATAAGATTTACAGGTTATTCAATACATTAATAAATTAAGTCCTTACTTGGTATTAGATGTTTATTCTCTTACCAGACATCATAGTCCTAATTATATGGTATCTTCTAATGTGAGTAACCACTACTTTTGAATATATATTATACACAAATTAAGAGGGCACAGTGTAAACAGCTCTCTAAACAAAGTCCTGCTATCCAAGTCAGTTCATTTATTATATGCATGAAGCTAATGAAATGCTAATAAACAGCTTAATGTATCTGACAACTGTATTAACTTTTTTTTCTTTGTTCTCCTTATTTACAAATTTGAAAAAATGGCAATGCAGGGTAATTTGATTCCAACAAAAATGGCCAGAATGTTAGGCTGGTGACTTTCTGAGAGATTTAAGAGGTACTCATATATTCTAGGACACACAGAGGCAGAATTCCTTGAGATTTTAAATGTAATACTGGTTGACTGTGAATACAAGACTAACGTCTTTAATATGCTAAGTTACTTTTCCTGTCCTATGTATTGTCATAGGTATTCCATGAAAAAAAGGATTCCCTGGTCAAGTAAGATTAGGATATGCCAGGTTAAACCAAACTCATCTACTTTCTTTACTGGCAGACCTTTCAGAATATTTAGAATGCTAATATGCACTTTAAATCTCCAGTACAGGATAGCATGTATCTTTTCCCAAACTTACTTGACTATGTATTCCTTTTTTCTGCAAGAGTATCTAATGACATTTAAGGGAGCTAATGTTCAATACAACAGTTTGGGAAATAATCTAATCCAAAGTTGCATCAATTACTCGGTTCTAATCACAAATCTCCACCCATTGACTCAATGCATCAAATGAACCTCTTTCCTGCATTCTTAGTGTCCTTTCCATTTGGTAGCCACTGGCTTTTTTGAGATTTCAGTGCTATAGAATCTCAAATGTCCTGTTATTCTCTGGTTTTTTGATTTAAAATTCAAGTGGCTTCAGTTTATGGCATCATACAAGGTATGAATATCCTTACACTCCAAACAAATCATTCCACTTACTAAAATAGGAGATGCTGATTTCACTCTTTTGTATACCTATCTATGGACTCATGGGGAATGTACACTGAAGCCTAGCTAGAAGACAAAGTATAATAGTCTAAATTCAGTTTTGGCTAAAAGATCAGACCACAATCATCTCCAGTGAAGGCAAGAGACTAAAGGATAGCACAATCAGACTCTGGGAAACAGCTCGGAAATGCATTTGGAATCATACTGGGGGTAATGGTGCCCAGCCCTAATGTAAAGTGAGGAAAAGGGAAGGAGAGAGTAAGGCACAGAAACAATATGGAAATAGGACAGCTTTTTGAATCCTCTAGAATTGAATTCTCCTAGTGCAGCTTTAGTAATTAGCTAGAACCAATTTAATTCCTAACAAACATAGAACATCCATAGCTAAATGTGAATAATTTAAAAATCTATTTTGAATTATCTACTTTTCATTATGATTCAGGATAATTTAAGAACAGTATGTCTATTTCAGTCAGGGTTCATAATACTCCTTTAAACTGAAGATGGATCTGTTTTTTCAAGTTATTTTGGTACTTTCTCTCTTGAGCTAAATTCCAGAGAAAAGCCCTTTAGAACATAAAGCATTTTTAGGGATACTGATGTTGGAATATTAAATAAGTAAAAAACAATCAAGTAAATCAAGGCCTGTCTCATTTTGTATCACTGAATTTGTAAATTCTCTTGGTAAGGCTGCATATATTCACAAGTCAAAGAGTAATTTAAATTTATAATAGAAATCTATAACCCAACTAAAATAAATCCACTGCTACATAACTAAAATTATGTAATTATTCATTTATTTATAAAATAACAAAAAATTTAAGAATAGATCTGTTTATTGTACTGTGAAAATGGTCTTGGTACATGTGAGAAACATTATATACTTTGAGTACAGCATTTAGAACTGTTAAGACAAAAGACAAACTATAATTTTAAACTCAATCTTGATTTAAGGGAAAGGCTATAAATTATTGGCTGGAATGCATTCAGCATGAACTCAGATTCTATATAACACAAAGCATGAAAGAGTACAAAAGATGTTGGAGTCCAATAAGCCTATACCTAAATTTTATCTGTAAAGCTTCGAGAACTTTTTGTTTAATCTCATATACTAGTCTTCTTCTGAGACAAGTTGATTTTATCTCCAAGACTTAAGGCCATTCCCTGTAAAGAAGAACAAAGATGTTTATAATTATTGAAACTATGTACAACCCGTAGGTTATTCCATCTTAACTAAGCCCCCATTCAATGACACCAAATCAACAACAAAATCAAAGATGTACAAAACAGACTCATCAAATCTTTACTGGGTTAAGTACTTTTTAGTGCTAGATTTACAAATAGTCACTAGTTTATACCTTGCCTTTCAAAAAACTCAAAAAGCCCATTTCACAAATATCCCACAGGAATCAATCTGGTTTTAAGCAAATATTCCAGAACAATAGGTCCAAAAAGTGGGCCATTTTAATAAGGTAAAACTTTTATTTCTGTTCAGAAAATGCTATATTATACATATGCATTTAATACGCAAAACATGAGTATGACAGAAGATACTATATACAGAAATAAGAAAGCCATAAATTCTTCCTTCCTTTGTTCAGTTTAGAAATGTTTTCAAAAAAGGAATTGTTACCTGACTCTTTGCACGAATTCTTATGTGGCCAGTAACAGCAGCTTCTCATACAGAAATAAGAAAGCCATAAATTCTTCCTTCCTTTGTTCAGTTTAGAAATGTTTTCAAAAAGGAATTGTTACCTGACTCTTTGCACGAATTCTTATGTGGCCAGTAACAGCAGCTTCTGGTCCCTGGTGAATTGGCTTCTCAATGCTGACATTTGCAAGTGCATCTTCTCCAAATATGGAACGAGCATAAAGGTTGGCTGCCATAAAGCCACAGTAACCAGAGAGAGCCTGGAAGAAATTTGTGATAAATCCCAAACTTTACTAGAGAATTATCCATAGGCAAAACCAAACAGCATAAGTGAATTAACACTTAAAATAGTACCTCTGCAGTGGCAGTTACATGACTGTTATAGTTTGTCAAAGCTCACAGAACTAACTATACATGCAAAAAGTATGAATTTTACTGTGTGTATATTATACCTCAATAAGCCTGACCGTAAAGCAATAGTACTTATTCCAATTTGTATTTATATATTCTCTATTTACACTTGTTTGACTGTCTCCTGTACAAGACCTTAAGCTCCACGAAGGAAGAGATTATTTTTCGTTGGACTCAGTATTTGTTGAATAAACTAATATATGAATTAAAATCTACTTGTTTGGCAGGAGACATTCTTTTATTAACAAAGTAAATACTATACCATTAACAGAAATTTTATAAAGAAAAAAATTCCTGAGAATATATATATATATTTTTTTGTCTTTTTGTCTTTTTTCCGTGTCCGGCAACGGATCGCAACCCTCAGTGTTGCCCCCGTACCGGACCGGGGACCGGCAACGGGATCGCAACCCTCGGCGTTGCTCCCGCGCCTCGCTCAGCCAGTGAGCGGGAACTGGTCTGCATGTGGGATCCGAACCCTCGGGCGGGAGCGCCGCCGCGCTTCCCAAGCGGTGCACTATCCACTGCGCCACCGGGCCGGCCCCTGAGAATATTTTTTTATAAAGAAAAATATTTTATAAAGAAAATTATTCCTGAAAAAATATTCCAGCTTCATTTTTCTTTCTTTCTAGTCTTTTTTCACACACACATAAACATAGCAGAAAGTCATAGTATACCAACAATTCTATATATAAACAGATATATTCTGACCTACCATCAGAGCCCACAGAAGAGAATTTTATGAACATTTTCTAATCCAGTACCACAAATAAACTATTTTGGAAAAAGCCTCTAACTAAAAGGAGAAGATTCAAATGAAAAAACTAATTTGACTATTTAATTAGTTCACTGTACTAGGAACAAGTAGGATGGTATATTCCAATAGAAAAAGGTAAGCAGATTTATATATTCTATGGGGTTTACCTAATCCAGAATGACACTGCTTTTCCCATGCTGAATAATAACAAAAATACACTGTGGGAAAGACAAGAAAGCCAAGAATCTTCTATATTCATACTACTCAAATTTTACCTTCTCTGGAGTGAGACATTTCATGTTGGTTGACTTTAATATGTGCTGTAAATAGTCATTTAAATCAACCATATTGGTGTTAACCGTCACCTATAGACAGAGAGAAAAGTCAGGAGATCATATATCTTACAATGAAAAAGTATGAATTGCTAATATTTCATATTAGAACTTCCTTCCAACTATTTAGGGTGGGGAGCAGGCAACAAAAAGGTAAAAAAGTCAGGAGATCATATATCTTACAATGAAAAAGTATGAATTGCTGGTATTTCATATTAGAACTTCCTTCCAACTATTTAGGGTGGGGAGCAGGCAACAAAAAGGTAAATGACATCTTCCACTAAATCCAACAAACTACAGATTGGTATTAGTACTTTCAGATACAGATAACTTCACAGAAGATCAATATAAGCATATAAAATATTTCTAACAAAAATCAAGGCTCAAAGGCCTCAGCAGGCCATGGACTTTGCAAAGCCTCTTTTGGACACTAGAGTCAATGGTAAATTATTATTCATACATAGAAGGGATGGAATATTGTCTATAATGTCTTAATCAATGAGATTAATCATAGAACTGATACTCTAATCAATTTACAACAGTAAATTACCAAACTACTTGCATGATTATCAGTTAAGGCTAATTTGCAAAACAGATACTAAAAGACTGTTTACTTTTCACATCTGACACTTTTTAGTGGGATAACTTTTATCAGAGATAACTCTCAACACTAGCCAAAAGGAAGAAAGATTAAGAAGTACAAAGAAATCTCCCAAGGACTAACTTTGTTTTCCCATTCAAATTCGGCCCACATCTGACGGAATTCAGCATCAGTGCAAGTTGCAGGCTGGATGTAGTCCATGATGTCAATGTGGATATCACTGAGAACCACACAATTTCTATCACTCGCTGCTCCAGAGACATCATAAACTGAAATATACAAAATGACGCCCAATCACCAGGGGCAAATTCTAATTTTAAGAGGTTAAATATATCTGAATAATTATGATATTAGCAAATATTTATATAATACTATGTACTAGACTCTATTCTAAGTGCTTTACAAACATTATCTGTTTAATACTCCTATCAATCCTATCTGATATTATTATTTTTCATCTTACAGATGAGGAAACAAAAGCCCATAGAAGTTAGATAAGTTTCTGAAGGGCACACAACTGATAAATGGTGGGGCCAGGATTCAAACTCAGACACATTTTGTACTTACATAGTGCGTAGTGTATCTGCTGCATAGCCAGACACTGCAGCAGACACACAATTAGTACAGTGTTCCCATAGTAGGTGCTTACCTAATATTTTTGAATGAATATTGCTGAACCATAGTACTTAATACAAGATTATTTGCTTCTGTGACTGTCTATTCCACAGTAGAAAGTTATTACCTGATTGAAGACTACTTTTCCTCTTTCTAGCCTCTTCTTTTTCTTTCCTTGTCTTCTACTTTCAGAGAAAACTGAGCTCCTTTAATCTTTAGCCCCACATCTAAAAATAAATTTCTCTTTTGAATCCACTCTCACCTCCTTCCCTTTCATATTAGAAAAGTGCTGCCTTTTCTCTTCAAAATTAATGCATCCTGCCATCTGCAATCCCTGCTTTGGTCCAGGATCTCACTCCATCAATCACTACCTCTTTCACTTTTATGTGTTTACCTTCCTATTCTCTACCAATGTTCTTCCCTTACAGTTTATAAATATAATCAAGGCTCTCTTATCTTAAAAAAAAAAAAAAAAAAAAAAAACAATCCTACCTCATCCCTGCCTTC